GACACAACAAATGGTTCCTGCAGAACAAAGCTGATTTTGTTTTGACTCCTTAAAGAGCAAGTCACCCCCAAATCAAACTTTTTTTTTGCTGACAAACTAAATAAACGAGTGTCTAATCGTGCTGCAGACACGTGTAGTCAATTATTTGGCATTTCAGTGAATCTTAGTTTCCATGGAAATCTCCATAAATTACTTTTCTCAGGTGAACCTTATCTCACACAAATTAAAATTGGTGTGTGTTACTCTTACTTGCAACCAATGAAAAGCCACTTCTACCCAGTCACAGGTGAATCGCGTTACAGCAACCCCTACTGTACAAGTACATATATGTATAAATAATGTAAACCAACAGACAGGATTGGCATGAGGTGCATACTGAATCTACAAAACTGCAGAACATGGAACGTCAGCCTTGTGGAAGAGGGGTGGGGATCCGTGGAGGATGAGGACAAAACCGGGGAAGAAGAGGGCAACCACATAGGCACGTTCCTGACGAAATCAGGGCAACACTTGTGGATCATGTGATAAACCATGGCCTCACAATGGCCGAGGCTGGTCGTAGGGTGCAGCCAAATGTTGGGAGAACTACTGTAAGTTCTATTATTCAGACATTTCGTCGGGAAAACAGGTGAGCATACTGTATTGTAGTTATTCAGCACAAACTAATTTGCTCTGCACTTTCATAGTCATACAGGAGACTTGCATTAGGACATGACCTAATAAATCTTTACATATAGACGTACTGTAACTGAAGCGCAGACTAGGCCCGTGTGTGGCATAGTGTGCTGTGGCACAATACAGTAATGCTGTAAAGAAAGGAGTTTTGAATGATAGTCCTGTAACAGTTACTGTAAGCATGTTTGCGCTTATTTATGTTTGTGTTTTTTCATCTGCATCTCAAAAAGGACTGCCAGACAACCTAGAAGAGGTGGAAGAGGTCCACTTTTGACTCCACAGCAAGAGGAAAGAATTTGTGCAATGGTGGCTGCAAACAACGCTTTGAGACTGAGAGAAACACAAAGAACTGTCGTAGAAGATGACACCATCTTCGGAAAGATTCAATCAATATCAATTTCCACCATAGACAGAGTCCTCAGACAGAATGTAATGTCCATGAAGCAACTGAACAAAGTAGCATTTGAACGTTACAGTGATCGAGTGAAGGAGCTCCGTCGCCAGTATGTACAGGTAAAACATGTTTGCATATGTACCTCTGTTTACTGTAAAAGTTTAGGCCATGTACTGCACGGACATTTACGCATGTTACTGTAATCCTATTTACAATTCAAACTGTACAATCTGTTGTGCCAAATGCACCATTACAGATTTTTTTATTCTCATCCTTTGTATAGCGTATCCTGGAATTGGAGGCCAGGGAACCCCTACGCACATTTGTGTATCTTGATGAAGCGGGATTCAATCTCGCAAAAGGCAAACGGTGTGGACGAAATCACATTGGAGAAAGAGCCACCATTGATGTCCCAGGCCAACGAGGAGGAAATATTACAATGTGTGCAGCAATCTCAGAAAATGGCGTTCACACCCATATTCCTCGTATTGGTGCATACAATACACAACACCTGCTGGCTTTTCTGGACGCTCTTTATAGGGACCTAATCCCGCAAAATGAAAGGTATGATCCTGGTGTCAATCGGACAATGTATGTAGTGGTTTGGGGTAATGTTAGCTTCCATCACTCTGCTGTAGTCAGGCAGTAGTTTGCAGCACACGACAGGATGCTCATGGAGTTTCTTCCTCCTTACACTCCATTCCTAAGTCCAATTGGGGAGTTTTTCTCTTCCTAGAGGTGGAAGGTATATGACAGGCATCCACATACCCAATTGACCCTGCTAGCAGCTATGGATGCAGCTTGTGATGACATCACAGCAGAGTCCTGCAGAGGGTGGATTCGACACTCCAGGAGATACTTTCCCCGATGCATCGATAGAGCTGACATTCCCTGTGATGTTGATGAAAATATGTGGGCAGACAGACGGGAGCGTCTAGATATCAATGACTGATATGTAGCGGTGTCTGTTCAGTCTTTTTTTTGTTTCATAACTACTGCAGTAAGGTTTACTGTCTACGTGATTTATGTTTGCTGTGAAATATTTGTTTTACTGTATTTCCCCAGTTGCACAATGCTGTGAACAGTTTCAGTTAAATATTATCAAGAGTGCATGTGAAGTGTCTTGTGTTTCCTTTACAATTCATGGTTTTCAACATGCCATTCATACTGTCCAGACTTGACATGTCATTGGGAAGCACCTACAAAGAAATCCGTCACAATGAGATCATGTTAGACAGATAGATAGATAGATAGATAGATAGATAGATAGATAGATGATAGATAGATAGATAGATAGATAGATAGATAGATAGATAGATAGATAGATAGATAGATAGATAGATAGATAGATAGATAGAAGATAGATAGATAGATAGATAGATAGATAGATAGATAGATAGATAGATAGATAGATAGATAGATAGATAGATAGATAGATAGATAGATAGATAGATAGATAGATAGATAGATAGATAGATAGATAGATAGATAGATAGATAGATAGATAGATAGATAGATAGATAGATAGATAGATAGATAGATAGATAGATAGGCAGGTCCTTTTCCAGTCTGCCTTCTATGTTTCTGGGAATGAAACTGAAGCCTCTGTTTCCTGGGTTAACCGTTTCCTTATCTCATCCACTTTGTGAGACGTTTTAAATTTCCTCACCATCCTCATCACCCTAAGCTCATAACCATAGGTGAAGTTCGTGGTAAACTGAGAGCTTAACTTTCTGGCTCAGCTGCCTCTTCCCTACAGCAGGCTGGTTCATACCCCGATCTGCCTGTCAGACCCCTGCTTCCTTCTTCCTGCCATCAGGAGCTCAAAAACCATCACCTAAAACCCAACGGAGAGCAGCTCTCTCTAGAATGGGACTGGTCCCAGTAAACGGTGCAGGTGACAGAGGAAGCGGAGGCGCTGCAGAGCAGGCCTTGTCTGGAAGGTAAGGACACCACCTGAAACCTCTGTCTCCAGTCATCACACATACCCACAGCTCTGGTGGTAGGTGTTGTATTCATGTTCACAATAACTGGTGTCATTGTCCACTTCTGTTCTCACTGGATTCATACAGAACAGCTGCTTCCTCATATGTGCTGATGATTGCCTCAACTCAGCTGGTTCTTCTCCACATGGAAGAGCAACAATTCTACTCTCAGTTCCTTCAGGATCTCCAAGCGATTCACTCCATCTCTAAAGCTGTGGAGGGATCTTATTTCAGCTGTTTGCCTTCATCATCCTTTCCTTTTTTTGATGCCCATAGGTGAGGGGTGTAACTGAGATAAATCTTTTAAATGAAAGCCTCAGATTCAGGCATGGCTTCAGACTGGTTCAGCATCTGCATCACTGCAGATGATGCCCTGATTCACCGTCATCCTTCACTCACTCGTAAACAGGACCCTGAGAAACTTAAACTGATGCAGAACCTCTCCCCTGACCTGGACTGGCTTTCCACTCCTTACAGTTACATATTATAACAGATTGAACTGTGAAAGGTCCCTTTAACACATGCTTTACCACAGGGTAGTACTGGTGTTACTACACAGCTCTTCTACCAGGAGCACAGAAGTACAGGAGTCATGACTGCACACACAGATGCTATCTGGATTGTTTTCTTCCCACACATACATCAAGGTGGAGTGGACTCAGTTTGAGTATAGCAGAGCAGCAGTATTCCACCTGGGCTTTGCAAGGTTTAGATCACATACACTGACATTCAGTGCCTTGCTCAGAGACATTTAGGCAAGCAAAGTGTGATTGGCAGCTTTAGCTCCAGATGCACAGTGGCTCTTCTGAATGGCTGATCTGCAACAAGATGCTATTCATTCAAATGTCACCGTGCAACAGCTCTCTGTGTTTTATTCTGTAAATGAAAACTTTTCTCAAATAGCTGAACTTTTCATCCTTCCTCTGTGGAGCTCAGAGCCCAGTCACAGGAGAGAACCCTAACCCATAAACATGTTTATCTCTAGTAAACAGGTACAGTTGCAGCATCCCTGACCCTCTCTTCTGTTCCCGACAAACCGACAACGACCTGAAAACGTGACCTAATTTCAGCTTTTCATTTTACCAAAACATCTAAGAAGTATGAAGACAAACCTGATAATAAACTCTGGCGTTAACATCATCTTGGTTCTATGTGTGTTTATGAACACGTGCTTGAATCAGTCACCATCAGCACAGACGTCTAAAAACAACAAAAACACAACCGCTCTGGTTAAGAGTGGGGTGGTCGTGAATCTGTTGTTCACGAGTTCACGGCAACCTGTGATCATAATAACAACAATCACTAATAGTTTATCTTATTTTGGCATGGTAGACACCAAAGCCCCCGGGTGCTTTTATAATTAATCTACAGACATTATGTAAACTCACCCTGCAGCTCTATTCAACGGTCATGAATGAACGTTTTCTACTCCGTTTTCTCTGGTTTGGCATGCATGACTGAGTAGCCTCAATCTGAACCAGTCATGTGTCAAAACCCTCTCTGATCACACGTTAGTTATTAACGGTTGAAAGTGCTTTTAAAAATATGTCTGGAAAAGTCGCCAATAGCAGCAAACATTAATTTGGCTCAAAATTCCTACTTTTTATTGTTGTTGTTGGGTTTTCCTAAATGAACCAAAACCAGAAGGCGTGTTAAACGTAACAAAGGGCAAAACTATTTCAGTCATAGTTAGTGGGAACAACCAGAGTCCAGGGAATTTAAGTGAAAGGTCTGGCAAACCTCTCGACGAAGCAGGAGCAGAGTTAAGAAACTTAAAGTCCTCCTAAACAAAAACGCTTGTAGCAAATATACAAGACAAATGAAATAAAGGTGTTTTGCAAAAATCTCCTCTTAATATAAACTCTCCTATGTAATCGGCGGGTTGGAATCAAATCAACTCTAATTGAATAAAATTAAAAGAATGAAGATTAGGTATTTCTACTCACCCCACTTGAACATCATCATTGTCAGAAGAACCGTCTTTAGATTCAGGTAGGCTTTTCTCAGCTCCATGATAAAAGTGGGAACAGGGTTAGGAGCAACGTGAGGAGGGGATGAAAGTCCTAAAGTTCGAACATCCTTCTCTGTGCCTAAGAGCTTGTCGCTGTGGGTTTGTCGCCCTCAGTCTCAGGGCAGGCGTGGAGGGCCACACATGCTTGGCTTCAGAAGGCTGTCCCTGCTCCGAGCGTAATAAGCCACAAGAGGAACGGAAGGAAAATGTGAGGTGGAATATCACCTGCTGATGAAGATGCTCCTTTTGAAACTTTTGACATATATGTATTTTTTACATATTATGAATTGTTTAATTATTAATAGATGTAACCTGGAAAACCCAAACCGGTCATAAAAGACTTCTGAGGTCTGACTTTAGGGGTGCTCGACCCTCAGCTGGTGGCTTTTGGCTGGAACAATGGGACTCCCAATTTAGCTCAATATGAGATCTTTGAAGATTCTTCCATCATTTCAAACTGAGTACACCTGCTTTTACTAATACATTTTGTGATTAGATGATTATTTAATTGTAACAAAGCTTTTGGACAAATTTACAACTGATGGATTTTTCTCAAATAGAGTCACGTTTGTAAGAAAAGGGCATTTGTGTTGAGTATGCAGGTTGTACCCATGAAAAACCTGACAAATCGTCAGCAGCAGAAGAAGCTGTTTGGCATCCTCAGAGAACACCTGTCACATTTTTCATGGGTGCAGCCTGCATACTGCACCCAGCTGCTCAACACACAAACACACTCTCCTGACAAAAGCAGCTCAATTTTAGGGAAATACAAATGGATAATATTTATTACAAAGAAGTGTCAATGCATTCACTAATTTCTTTAAAAGTTGTGCTACATTTGTGTAAAAATCTATCCTCCATTAACGTTTCTTCTTTATTTGGGTTGGGGTTAGTGTCTTTCAGTGCTTTTTCACACGATAGCACACAACTGTTGAGGGCCGACTGACATCTTGTTTTTATGGTGGTTTACAATCCCAGGGACCCAAAACATTTTCAAAGATCTTCTGGGATTCAGTCAGCCATGTTGGATTTGGACACTCCAGTGAGTCCATGCCAGGATTTAGTTAGCAGCTCATTAATGTCTTCAGCAGCATTAGAGGCTTGTGGAGCTTAGCAGTCAGACATCACTCTGCTCCAGCGCCCCACCCCCTCATCCCTATCACACACACACACACACACACACACACACACACACACACACACACACACACACACACACACACACACACACACACACACACACACACACACACACACACACACACACACTCACACACACACACACACACACACACACACACACACACACACACACACACACACACACACACACACACACACACACACGCACACACACACACACACCTCCCCAAATCTGTTACCCTGCTGTCTATTTGTTAGACTTTCAGTATGATGACAAACTCTGACATGCAAGGTAGTTGTAACTATAAATGTAACTATTTCATTTGCTGTATTTGACTTCAACATGATTTACTATTTATTTAACTTAGAAATACTTTGTAATAATCAGTGTATCTCAAAATGTATCAAATATGTATAAATGAAAGTGAATTGATATTTATAATTAGCACCTTTTTGCATTCTACAACCCCCCAAGGTGCTTCACAGTACAATCACTCATTCAATCACACACACACACACACACACACACACACACACACACACACACACACACGCACACGCACACGCACACGCACACGCACACGCACACACACACACACACACACACACACACACACACACACACACACACACACACACACACACACACACACACACACACACAGATGGCGATGAGCTAGCTACAGCTGCCCCGGGGCACACTGATGGAGACCAGGCTGCTGAACACAGGCGCCATCAGTCCCTCTGACTGACACCAGCAGGAAAGGAGGGTTAAGTGCTTATTATCTTAGCTATATGTGTTTTAGTGAATAATATTGAACAGTTAGAGGCCAGAAACACTCATCTTCCTCCGAGTTTCAAGCTGGAGTATTTCTGTTTTATTCATAATACCACCTGAAGAGTTCAAACATTCTCTAATTTCTCATGAATGGTGAAGATATTCTATTTTCAGGGGCTTGTATGAAGAGTTGGTGTGTGTGCATCCTATTATTTGGGAGGCTAACCCATGCTGACCTTGAAAATAGCATCACCTATAGATAAATAAAGGTATCTATAGGCATCTATAAATGTATGTATTTATTTCTTTTAGAGTGGTGGTGAAAATAAGGCTTTTAGTGTCCTGTTGGTGTTCATTTCCAGCCACTCCATGAGCCACGAGTCAGCTGCTCTCTTGTGGTGAAACAAGGCATCGCACAGCTTATTTTGTCTGGTCTGGAAGACCAGTGCTACAATGCTTTTCAAACATGTCCTCTACATGAAGTTCATTATAAGAGGCTTTCTGTTCATAGTAAACATTCTCCAGTTAAAGTTAAAGGTAGCTTATAGATGCTTAAATCTGTTTTGTGTTATTGGGCTATTCTACCGCTTGACAGACTGGTTTCACCTGGTTAATAAAACAGGTGCAGTGGAAGAGTCATCCATCTGCTGGTAATCATTTTGAATGGAGAGACACCTGCAGATTTTGATTCGACTGAACCGAGAAAAGAGGTGATTCATCAGTGGATGAATTGTGCTGTGTCATTGGGAGCTGGTGAGCATTCCATCTATTTAATCAGCACCACAGTAAGGACGTTGGTGTTACTTCTAAGTGATGTTGTGAGGTGTCCCACCCAATCAGTTTGTAAGTCAGACAAATGAGTGTAACAGTGCTCAGGTGAGGATCCAAGTGCGGGGAAGAAGGCAGGCAGGAATGTTTAAAGAGGTTTTTAGCGGTAAGCACGCAGGAAAAGGAAACAGTGGACAGACCAGGAACACAGAAGTGGGAGGGTTTAAATACACAAGGAGCTGGGATCTAAAGTGATTGGGAGACGATAAGCAGGTGGGAGACATTAGGAAAGACACAGGACTGAACAGAGTGGGGAGACAGGACAGGTTGTGACAATGAGTTTCCTCCACCCCACAGAGGAGTTTTAAAAATGGGGTTTGCAGGTTGAAACTGACAGCATGCTAATCATTCTTTGATACACCAGAACAATATCTATTCACATCTCTGGCCTTAAGACAGTTTGGCTTAAAACATCAAATGTTGCGTTGTTACCTCCATGCCTGGTCGATGGAGGATAATATGTATGAATGAGCATCAACCTCAAACAGTGGACGAAAGCAAAATGGTCTTTATTAACTGTAAAGAGGAGCGTGCACAGCTTAGCAATGTCATGAAGGTTGATGCTGATGGTTCATTTGCGACAGAATAGGACTGATGTAGAACCGGTTTGGTTTGGAAGCAGGATGAGGACAATGGAAACTGATGAGAACATCATCAAAAAATTCAGGGTCAACAGAAACAAAGCTATTGGTCACAAGGGAGCAGATGGAGAGTCTAAAAAAATCTATCAGAGAATCATAAGGGATCCAAGGACTATGGAACGCCATTAATGGCATCATGTTTAACTAGTATTTCTGCCAGATCCTTCAGCTCTCTATTTTGTCCCAACATATGTGAGTGACCTCTGACCTTTTTCCAGCATATCTGCATATTATTGGAGGTCACTGTAGCGCAAACAGACTCCTCCCAGGGTCACACACACACACACACCAAACGCCACACACCGGTTTCAGCATATGCACAATTATTATTTAGTTTTTTGAATATTTTTTTGCAGCAGATATGGCTCCTTGTTCTGCTGCTTCTGTCGCTCCTGTCGTCTCACCTATCTTCCTTTCCCCCACAGCTGTGCATGCACCGATGGACCACCACAGTCACCAAACTGCATCTCACGTCATGAAAAGTTCCAATTGTGTAGCAGGTTCCTAGTTTGCAGTTGTGAGTTTGTTATTTCCATCAAACAAGATGACAAGACAAGCTGAGGCAAGCATAGTTTGAGCTTTGCAAATCAAAAAAGTACTATTAAACTTGTTATAGCAAACTTGCAAACAAGCTAGATTTTGAATGCAAACATGGTCACGGAACACTCACCCCTGCCCTCGGGTATCTTCCCTGAGACTCTTCTGCTGGAACCGGAAGCCCGCGATGCTGGAAAAAATGATATAGCGCTAAACACCAGTTACCGTATTCTAGCTCCAAACGTCTTCTGGTGTCTGTGACTTCAAATCTGCTTCTCCTTCTCTGATATTATTGAGCAAAGAACCTCTTACACCAGTTGTGTTCTGTTGCTAAACACACGAGTGTGTAATGAATGGCGGACCCAGGGAAATGCAATGCTTCGGCGAGAACGACGACCGGATGGCCCAATGGTTGCTTTCGGTCCAAACTGTGTTGGTGGAGGTTTTAAGACAAATTCAAGAGATTTACTGAAATTATATATATTTTTTAAACTTTTTTTCCTTTTAATCTTCACAAAACATTTATTGCTATATTATATTAGAAAGTTAAGAGGCATGAGCTTTTCTTAAATTTGTTTTAATTTCATTTTTCCCCCCAATCTGTTAGTTTTATGACATGTCAGTTATAGTACCAGTTTCACAGCTTTAGTTCTGGGCTGCAGTTCTCCTTACACCACGTTTTCACCTACTTAGTATTTCCTGGCAGACCACATTCAGTTTTCTTCAGTGTTTTCATTTTTTGTAATCATTGTTCATTTTTGTGATTGTCTTTATTGCTGTGAAGCACACTGAGGTGCCTTTGTGTAGGAAATGTGCTTTATAAATAAAGCTATCTTGTCATTTGGCATTGCAGCTTTAACGCATTCAGCAGTGAGTGTTTTTCTGATTGAGGTTCTAACTGGAAATGTTGATAGCCTTGTCAGTGAATGATAAGCCAATCAACTCCGACACCTGCACTAGGTTCAGAATCCACCAACATATGCAGTGGATGTGGTCAAAGTTGTGGGTCTTCATTCTGAAGAAGCCCTTGTCTGGTATACACAACCTGTATCATAATGATCAGTCAAAGGAGGTGGTAATGAGTAATGCTCACACAGGGGCGATGAGATTATGACTGTTGGGATCTGACACACTACATGGATGCTCTCTCCTGATTTGAGATGCTCAGGATCTATGGGGGAATCATCCTGACTAAGGAGCACGCTCATAAGGACCATGAAAGGATGAGTTATCAGCAACATTGGTCAAAACAAAAATATTGTGAATGGTATCCACTTGAACACTGAGTCAGAATAATGACTATGGATTAAGGAGAGTGCACAGGTTGGTTTGGGTCCGGGATGCACCACACGCAGCAACACAATCCAAGTTCACGAGGAAACAAAATGAATAGTGGTTTTCAAACTTGTGCTTCCACTGTTTGAAGTCTATCAGCAGTTTAAAGCAACTAGGTGATTGCTTCCCCCATGAAAGAGAATAGACGTGCACACAGCGTGTAGCAGAGTCATGGGACTGCCTGAAACCTGTATGAATGACAGACAACACGGGGATATCTTTGGGAGAATACAGATGGCTAGTTAAAGTACAAGGTAGAAGTTCCAGGTTTTGTTGGTATGACTGGCAGCAAGATGCAAGCCATTGGAAAAGAGACACGGGCAAGAATGCAAGGTTAGCATCCATGCCACAAATTGGGCCATGCGTCAGCATGTTTTCAAAAGTAAAAAAAAAAAAACACTAATAAAGTTACAAATATTTAACGAAGTGAAATGACTAATTCTCTGATCCTTTGTATTTTGTTATTACAATTAGGATTTTGTAGACTAAAACATTTATTTGCAGCTCAGGAGGTAGAGCGGGTTGTCCAGTAATTGGAAGGTTGCAGGTTTGAGCCCTGCAAAGTCCGTTGCAGTTGTTGTGTCCTTGTGCAAGACACTTAACCTGCTTTTCCTGCTGGTGGTGGTCAGAGGGACCGGTGGCTCCAGTGGTCGGCAGCCCCGCCTCTGTCAGTGCGTCAGGGCAGCTGTGGCTGCATTGTAGCTCATCATCACCAATGTGTGAATGTGTGAGTGAATGGGTGAATGACTGTGTTGTGAAGCACCTTGGGGGGTTGTAGAACCCTACGAAGGCGCTATACAAATACAGGCCACTTACCATTTATTGATTTTATTGATAGGATTTGATCGTTTGTTGATTCTCTCGTTTTACACAAATAGTATTTATTTTAGTACCATATCACCATGTTTTCTGTAAGCTACTTTATTAGAATAATACCTGAGAAGTTGTGTTTCAGAAGCAGGAATTCTTTTCAGTTATGAAAAAAAAACAGTTAAAATCAATTGTAAATAAACAAGTAAAAACCTATTTTGAAACGGTCTAATAAAATAAACATGCCAGGATGGCTGGATTCAGATTTATCTACAGATCTAGGCAGTTTATTTATGTTCCTCCTGCATTTCCTGTGTCAGATTTTGTATCCTGAGAACTTAATCAATATTCAGGTCACTAATTCAGAGGCCTGACAGGAAGTGCTCCCCCACCGATACCATTACTGGTATTAATTCTGTCTGAGGAGTGGATAGGGTCACCAGAGTGTCAATGCTCAGTGTGGCAATAAAGTGACCTTTTAGACTATCCTCATCTTGTTTAAGTCCTCACTTCATTGAATTTTCCCTCCTTGCTGGTCTGGTTGGGGGCTGGGAAGCTAATGGTACTCATGGTTTGGAGACTTCGTGTCTCAGGAGCCAGAGTCTAGAGAAAAAGTCAGTTTTGCTAGCAATTTCTTCTGCTTCAATTAATTATTACTTGAGAGAAGCTGGACACAAGGTGCAACAGTTATGACAAAAATAAACAAATTAAATAATATTAATAATAATAGTTATTATCATGAAAAGCTTAGATCACATTTAAAACTTGTTTAAAACATTTTTGTCTTTCATGACACAGCATAACTATTTAATAATGAATATTGCAACTTTTTTCAAATTCCTCAGCACATTTTTGCATGCAGGCATGTTAAATGTGTCTTATAAAATAACAGTTAAAATGGAGAAGTCCTTAAGTACATGTACGCACACACACACACACACACACACACACACACACACACCAGATCATGTGTCTGTCTGCTTCCTCGCTGCTTCCCTTGATAGAAAACACACCCTTCCAGTATAATCAATGAGGAGTAGTGCTGGAAGGGGTGGCTACAGCAGTTTGCCTGTCTCTGATTTGCTGACATGTGCTTTAATTGGATCAAGTAGGAACTTGCTAAGCTGCATGCTTTGTACTGGGATTGGGAGCAGCCTGCAAAGACAGAGGAAGTGAGGCAGAGAGGGAGGAGGCTACAGGCTGCTCTGAGCACCACTTGGAGAGAAAAGACTGTAAGAGGAGGAGTGACGGAGGAAAAAAGGGGAGTATCCATTCTTCTCTCAGCCTCTGTGCTACTGCAGCCCCCCTCCCTCTCACTCTTCGGATCTTTTTCTTTCCCTTTTTTCCTTACTCATCCGTTTCTGTAGCTGCACTGACAGGAAGGGCACCTGCCGCTCTCTGATGATTCAGCCTTTAAACTGCGTGGAGCACTTTGGACACGACAGCATGTTCCTCTTGCCACTGCAGTGCTCTGCCATCCTGTCCTTGACGATACAGTTGCTGCAGCTGGCCCATCTAGTCGACACCGCCCCTTCTCCTTCTGCTGCTAAAGTGTTCAGGTGAGTCTGTGCTACTTTTCCACTAATGCTCAGAGCTGTATCACAGAAATGATCAAAGTAATGCTATTTTCTTACAAGACATATTTTTTTTACTTGCAGATAATCCGACTATCATAAAATCACATTATTGCAGTTATTTGTAAGAGTGTGCAAAGTACCCTTTGCTTGTGGACACGGGCCATCTCTGTATGTCTGAACTGCTGTCAAGCTTTTACTCTCTGAAGGACATTTGATTTTTTTTTTTCCCATCCCTTGAATTCGACACTCTGACTCTGCAGCCTCATGTTGGAAAACATACTCCGGGTGGCGGGCAGCAACTGTGTAATCCTCTGTTTTAATAGGTGAAACGTTCAAAAATAATTATTCAAGCAGTCCAAAAGGATGACTGAGGGAGTGGAGGACTCCTCTGCGGGGCCAATTCCTTCTCCTGGAACAGTCTCTCCCACTGGCCCTCCTGATGCAGGACTAGTCCCAGAGGAGAAACCAGAGGAGAAAGCAGAGGAGAAACCAGAGGAGAAACCAGAGGAGAAACCAGAGGAGAAACCAGAGGAGACGGAGGCAGCTGGCGAGAGTGGGGATGAGGATGTAAAGGGGCTTCCAGAGGAAGGTGGTGGTGATGGTGATGAGGAGCATGAAGGCGATTTGGAAAACGGGGCCTTGCCAGCAACCTGCTGTGTGTGCATCGAGATGGGACAGATAAACCAGTGCCTGCGATCTGAAAAAATCTGCATTCTGCCCATCCTAGCCTGTCTGCTTAGCTTAGCCCTTTGCACAGCTGGACTCAAATGGGTGTTTGTGGATAAGATTTTTGAGTATGAACCACCCACTCACTTAGATCCCAAACCCATCGGACAGGACCAGTTTGTTATATCAATTAACCCCACGCTTGGAATTACTGTGTCAATTCCTCATTCAGCTCCCTCTTCGGTTTCACTTACCACAACCATCGCCATTACATCAGGACATCCGGAGGGTTTTGTGAATGAAAAATCTACAACTGGGAAATTTGTGCCTCAGTCTCCACAAGTGACATATCCTTCTGTTACGCTCAAATACAACACTGAACGATCTACAGGTCCAAAGCAAAGTCCCCACCCTCAGACAACGCAGGAGATAAACAACATAATCCAAACCCTTTGTAAGTATCTAACCTTTCATTTGATTTTATTATTTTTTAATTGGTCGTTGACATTAAGGTTCCGACTGGAAAGCAAGGATGGGCTGGTGACTCGGGCTAATCTTCAAAAGTCACTTTCAGCAATCTAAACACAAATGTACTCCTGAGTGAAAATGTTTAAAATCATTTTGTTTTCCCTTTAAATCACAGATATTCACTCAGATCAGAATTTAAAGTAAACTTAGTGTGCTGTGGAGAGCTTTGACGGATTCTTCCTGTTGTTGTTCTCTCAGCTGTTAGAGGAAACTTCCATGAACAAACAGGTTGAGACTCGCAGAGTTTACATGAGGGCCCATGGCTCAGTCTCTTTGCTACCACAAGTAGATGTGCAGGAAATACGTATACATGTGAAAAAGGTTCCATTTGCATTTTTGGATGACAGTACAAGATTATTTGTAGGTCCTGTAGAAAAAAATAATGTTTCATTAGGCTATTTACTTGTGTGTGTGTGTGTGTGTGTGTGTGTGTGTGTGTGTGTGTGTGTGTGTGTGTGTGTGTGTGTGTGTGTGTGTGTGTGTGTGTGTGTGAGAGAGAGAGAGAGAGAGAGAGAGAGCGTCTATTCTCAATCGCCTGTCTGTGAGTCTAGATGATATTTTGTGATTACACAGAACAAAGCCCTTTTAGGTCATGTAAGTGGTTTACAGATGTTGTCTAACAGCTGTTCTAAACTTTGATGATCAGCCTCAGTTTGTTATGACTTTTCTTAGCTAGTCACAGATTAAACATTAGTAACGTACTGATAGAAAGGTGCCCGCCACAAACACATATTAACGAGTGGGACTAGATACACAGAAGTACTCCACACCTCCGGTATGCACCTCCAGTCATGCTGAGCCATTGTGGTATACATGTATGTGGTTCAGCACCCGATAAACATGTTGGTCACACCTGATCACCACTCCCATCTGAAAACAGGCACATGTCACTAAAGCCAGGACAGAAATAATGCAGACGAAGATCCTATTTAAGGGCCTGTATCACCGTTCCAGAGCAACAATAGGCACAATGATAGAACATCACCGTCTGCACTATTGAGATGTCATTTGTTGTGAAATATAAGCTATTTTTGTGACCTCTCCTTAAACTTGGAAACAAGATGCTTGGATTCGATGAAACCTTGTCTTTGTCCATGTGAATTCAACAGTTGTACACAGCTGCAGACCTGGAGATCACAGGTTCACGCCAACATGTCCCACCCAGAGATTGTTGAGCCCCCCCCCACTACAACCTTGATTATTCTTTGTCAGAGGGGTGATCAGCTAACACACACACACCTACACACACCACTCGTATAAAGAAACGGTGGCTGAGATGGCAGCCAATACGGAGCCTAAGTCTCCTCCCTTTCCGGTCGGTTCATGGTTCCCTGAAAGAACAAAAAAATTTATGCAAGTCAACGGAGATAAAAGAGCTATACCTGCTTTGCCTTTCGCCCTGGATCGCACATGTTGTACTTCTACTGAAAGGAAAAGTGATGATGTGCGTTTCATCCAGGCCCGTACTTAAAGATGTATTAGCTTGTATAAATTAGTAATTAATATGACAACAAATCAGACATTGGCACATTGCAATTATGGCATCACCACAGGATCTCCTCTCCCCTAGCATAGCTGCTACTTACCACATGGCCAGATTTATGATGGCTGCTTCCTTCTGAAAGAAGGATTCGATGCTTGCTAAACTTACAGCCATTTTTCCTCTGCTTTTCTCCGTGTCTGGTTTAACGACGTCAGTTTGGTGATATGCATTTGTAGTCCTGGACAAATTTTCACACAAAAATAACCTTTGCCCCTGTTCAAAAATAAGCGCTTTCTTGGTATCAGAATGTGTTCATGGCTCATAAAACACAGGATTAGAAAATAGCTTTTGTAGTCCCATTGACTTGCGTTAATAGCTTCGTTCTTCAGGGGGAGTGACTCAGGCTCCCTGTTCCCAGCCTGAATTATTGTCCAAATCTGCCCTGATGCTCACCCACAAAATGTTATACCCATTTAACGAGCAGCTTGCAGTTAGCATTTTGTTTCTACTCTCAGCTCTTTTTATCCATCAGGTGGTTTTAAAAGTTAGAATGGTGCCAGTCTGAATAGGGAATCCTAGAGTTTTTTTTGCCTGGGCCACTAATGGAGAAATTACTGATTTTGGAGGTGAACAGTAAACATGACACTTTTGACTCAAAAATGAAACCCTAATATCACAGAATGCTTGAAAAAAATTTTCAGATTCTACGAGATCAAAAGCTGGTTTGAATGGAAGTCAATGGAACGTTTTTGTCCTGAAAAGGCACAAGAGGATGATGAATTTTAAATTTGCTGATAAACAAAAATGGATGAAGCAAAAAATAAAATAGATTGTCACATTCTTGATAATTCCAAGGCTGATTTAAAAAATATATTTCAGTCGCCCAACAGATTTTAATGTAAAACATCTTGCCTTTTGTCTGCGTTTTTGTCATTAAAAATTAGCATCACATAATCAAGCTGGCATATAAAAGGTTACAGTTTAGATAATTATTCAATATTTGATTGCTTTGTTCAGATCTGAGGCTGATCACAAGGTTTATGCAGAAACAACAGAAAAAATATTGCATAATTTTTATTTTTGCTGTTTTTAGAAGTGCACATTTTTGTTCTTAGTGGCACAAAATGGTAGCGAATTTTAAATCTGTTGCTACTAAAAACTATTGCAGCAAAAATTTTATTCTTTAAGATATTTCATAACATAACCAAGACTGATTTGCAATAAATGCCCCAGGCAGGAAAAGAAAAATGTTATTTTTGAAAATAACTCGTGTTTTTTAATTTTTTATTTCATAAATTACAGCAATGACATTGAGTAATCAAACTTGCATTTCAAGGATTACATTGTGATTTGATCAAACTGCACATTTCAGTGTGGCCTTTTATATGGGCAGTCTGAGGCACACCTGTACATCCCTGCAAACAGTCAACGTCGCATGGACGTGCAGATCATGTCTTTATTGAGTCTGTCGGTCCAGACCATGTCTGTAGGACGTCCAAACTAGGTCTTTGCACAGTGGGATTATTCATGCTGTCAATTCGGCCCCTTGATATGCCACACCTGTGAGGTGGGATGGGTTATTTTGGTGTGGCAAGGGGGAGAAACAAGGGCTCGGGCGGGATTTGATGCCAAGACTTCCGTGTGAGTCACAATACTAACCAGTCAGCCTAAGGGACATCCCCCTGGCCAAGTAACCAGGGTGCATGATCAATCAGGATACAGTGACAGGATGCTCACCCTGTCACATTGGTAAAGGGAAAGTGCTCACTAACACACATGTAGACAGGTTTCAGAACGATATTTGAGAGTCATACATTGTGCATGTAGAAAAAGTTTCAGATGCTTGAGCTCAGCACATGAAAATATATTTATGGCTCTTTTATCTTTATAAATATGTGTGTGTGTGTGTGTGTGTGTGTGTGTGTGTGTGTGTGTGTGTGTGTGTGTGTGTGTGTGTGTGTGTGTGTGATTTAATATTCATAAAATCACTTAATTACTTAATTCAACTTCATTCTCATAATTTAATGGAAACCAGATTTGGTTTTGACGTAACTAAAATTGTTGATCAGGATTCATTGAAGCGAATAAAATGCGCCAAGGAGTGAGTACTTTTATTGGCATTGTCTGTACTCAATTTACAGATAACTGGGACTCCATCTTTTACACAGATGTGATATATTTCTCCGTAACCAATAATTAGCTACTCCGTAGAAGCAATGGTGTCCATTCATTAATCCTAAAAATTAAACTAGATGCTTTGAATGAGATATGGACAACTACACTTTGAATACACTGTCATTAAAGAAAAGGTAAAGTCGCTGGTTAAACAGCAAAGACAGGAGACAATCTCTTTTTGCTGTAGGTTGGGGTTATGGATGCATGTCTGCTGCTAGGAAATTATCTGTCAATAATTGTTGCTTCTTCCAGGAATGATTTATTAGCAAGAGACCATCTGAATGCCGCAGCTGGGTCTGCATGTGTCTGTATGTACTTATTATTTAGTTTTAATCATAGTCAGTGTGTACATTTGGCTGACACCATGAAAAGTGAGTAATTATATCTGAAATGCAGCCAGCTTCCCATGGTACCTTTTCTAATGTGCACTGTAGTTAACAGAGAATCTGTTATGTTTTCAAATGAAATGACGTCCAAGTTCTGATTTACGTTCATGAATTGTTATCATTTGACAGCATGTTAGAGAAATAAGAGAACAAAATGTGTTAACTCATGCTATAGCCTAAAATAAAAACGTAACCTAAAACTGTTAATGAGCTTCAAAAACCAGACTGTAGTGAACAAAGGTCAGAGGTCATCCTAAGTGTCAGATGTCATGAGGAAATAAGCTGTGTGATAGCCTCGTTGCCTCGAAATTGAGAGTTTTCATTCTTTTGCCTGATGAAAGGAGAGTAAATAGTTCCTGGGCTGAATGGGGGGTGTCCATCGTTACGTTCTTGTTCTGCGCATGTGAGTGAGGGTGCCTCACAGCTCATTTGCTGTCATGGGTGATTCTGCAGGTTGAGTGCTTTGCAGTCTTGTTTCTGGTTTTATTGTATTTCTGGTACTTCCTGTTTTATTTTGTGCATTCACTTCCTGTCTCATTACAGGCAGCTTCACGACATGAGGCTCCTCACTAATCTGCCTCATGTCTTGCACCTGGGTCCTGGCTTCTCCATTTAAGCGTCTTTGCAACAGTTTCCTTGGCCAGTTTGTACTATCAAAGCACAAAGAGGACTCAAATGCAGAGCTCACACAGTTTTAATAAGCAGAAGGGATTCCTGGAGTACAATACAACTGAAAAGTCCAAATCTAACTGAATACACTTTTACCAAGTGTTTCTGAGAGCAGGTTCACATCACACAACGGGAGAAGAACAGAGCCAGGGAGGATTCAGCCGTGGTTCAGGAGATCCGGGAGCTGCAGACGCTGGTATGAGACTTCCACAC